CACAATTATCTATGTTATAATTGTGGTAAAACCGGACATTTTTCCCGAGAATGTCTGTATCTCAGGAAGAGTAATCCTAATGTACCTAAAGCCCCTGTTACTCAAGCTCAGAATCAGTACAAGGGCAATGCTCAGAACAGTCAGAAAGGTCAGGCTGAGAAGAAATCTAGAAGGGTCTTCTATACTCAGGTGGAATCTATTCCAGAAGGAGAACCAGTAATGATTGGTATGTTTCCCGTTGCTAAGCACCCTGCAATTACCTTATTTGATTCCGGTGCATCCCATACATTCATCAATAGTACATTTGTTGTGAAGTATGGGATAACTATTGGGGAAACAAAAGAACCATATCATATACAGTCGCCCAGGGGACGACTCTGTACAAGGGAGATAGTTCAGCATGCACCTATTGATTTAGGAGGACATGAGTTCCCTACCAGCATGCTGATATTAAAGGATCAAGATATAGATGTGATCCTTGGTATAAACTGGTTAACTCAACACGGGGCTATCATAGATGTCATGCGTAGAACCGTAAAGGTAAATGTACCTGGCAGCAAAACCTAACTTCTCATCCAACTTCCCTTTCCTAAGAGTACAGTTGGAACGGTCTGTGCAACTACTGTTGAAGAAGCCGAGAACATTCCTGTGGTATGTGAATTTATGGATGTTTTTCCCAATGATCTGCCTGGACTGCCACCAGACCGAGATGTGGAGTTTAGAATTGACCTGAAATCAGGAACGGCACCTGTGTCCAGAAGAGCATATAGGATGCCACCCAAAGAACTAGCATAATTAAAAATGAAACTACAGGAGTTGTTAGACAAGGGTTTCATTCAACCCAGTTCATCACCTTAGGGATGCCCTGCTATCTTCGTGAAGAAGAAGGACCAAACCTTAAGGTTATGTGTTGACTATCGGCCGTTAAATGAAGTCACCATAAAGAACAAATACCCCTTACCCCGAATTGATTTGCTTTTTGATCAACTTGCGGGAGCTAAGGTGTTCTCGAAGATAGACTTGAGATCAGGCTATCACCAGATTAAGATCAGACAAGGAGATGTGCCGAAGACAGCGTTTACTACCCGATATGGTCTATATGAGTATTTAGTCATGTCTTTTGGGCTGACCAATGCCCCGGCTCATTTCATGTACCTGATGAATTTAGTTTTCATGCCCGAGTTGGATAAGTTTGTAGTGGTATTCATTGATTACATTCTTATATATTCTAAGAGCAAAGAAGAACATGCGAAACATCTCTGCATTGTTCTACAACGATTAAGAGACCACCAATTATATGCCAAATTCAGCAAATGTGCATTCTGGTTAGAGGAAGTACAATTTCTTGGTCATGTGTTATCTGCTGAAGGTATAGCTGTTGATCCGAGCAAGGTAGAAGAAGTCCTTGACTAGAAAGCACCTACCACTGTTCATCAAGTTCGTAGTTTTCTGGGGTTGGCAGGTTATTACCGTCGGTTCATCCCTGACTTCTCCAGAATTGTGAAGCCAATTATTGGACTACTAAAAAATCAAACTAAGTTTGTATGGTCAACAGAATGTGAGAAGGCCTTTCAAACATTAAAGAAGTTGTTGACAACTGCACCAGTATTAGCACAACATGATATCGAGAGGCCGTTTGATATCTATTGTGATGCATCTGGAATTGGTATTGGCTGTGTTCTTATGCAAGAAGGCAGAGTCATAGCATATGCTTCCAGACAACTCAAGAAGCATGAAGAACATTATCCCACCCATGACCTTGAATTAGCCGCTGTTGTTCATGCACTCAAGGTTTGGCGACATTATTTATTGGGCAATATCTGTCATATCTATACGGATCACAAAAGTTTGAAATATATCTTCACTCAGTCAGAACTGAATATGAGGCAAAGAAGATGGTTGAAACTTATCAAAGATTATTACTTAGAAGTGCATTATCATTCGGGCAAGGCTAATGTGGTTGTCGATGCCCTGAGTCGCAAGAGTCATTGTCATTGTCTGACTGTGAAACCTATGCAACGAACATTGTGTGAAGAGATGGAGCATCTAAATTTACAAATTATTGAACAAGGTTCCCTATCCAATATTGCAGTTGAGTCTACTATCAAAGATCAGATCATTGCTGCTCAATGGAAAAGTAAGTGTATAGCCCATATCAAAGATAAAGTCAGATCTGGAAAACCAACATGTTTTAATATTAATGAATCCGATGTCGTATGGTTCAAAGATAGATTGGTAGTACCCAAAAGTCCGGAGTTGCAAAAGCAGATTCTTGATGAAGCTCATTCTATAAGATACTCCATTCATCCGGGTAGCAACAAAATATATCATGATCTGAGAACGAGATATTGGTGGACCAAAATGAAAATAAAAATAGCTCAATATGTGGCCAAATGTGATACTTGTCAGAGAGTCAAATTGATTCACATGAAGACTGCGGATCCATTACATTCATTGCCAGTTCCATCTTGGAAGTGGGAAGATATCTATATGGACTTCATAGTGGGGTTGCCTAGGACTTCTGCAGGCTACAATTCAATATGGGTTATTGTTGATCGTCTACCTAAGATAGCTCATTTCTTACCAGTCAGAGATAAATATCGAGCGGAACGGTATGCAAAGCTTTATCTTGATAGGATTTTCAGTCTGCATGGGGCACCCAAGACCATCGTCTCTGACAGAGGGTCGTTGTTCGTATCCAAGTTTTGGAAAAGTTTACATGAGTCTTTGGGAACCAAACTTATCCGTAGTTCTGCTTATCATCCGCAAACAGATGGACAGACTGAAAGAGTAAATCAAATTCTTGAAGATATGTTAAGAGCATGTGTTCTCTCCTATGGTGCTATATGGGATGAATGCCTTCCCTTAGCTGAATTCTCATATAACAATAGCTATCAAGAGAGCATTAAAATGGCACCATTTGAAGCATTGTATGGCCGTAGATGCCAGACACCTTTACATTGGTCAGATGTTGGAGAACGTTGGTTCTTTAGACCGGATGTGGTCAAGGAAGCAGAAGAGAAAGTTAAACTCATACAAGCTAATATGAAGGTAGCTCAATCCCGACAGAAAAGCTATGCTGATAAGAGGAGGCGTCCGCTAGAATTCATAGTGGGAGATCATGTCTACCTCAAGGTATCGCCAATGAAAGGAGTTCATCGTTTTGGGATTCGGGGAAAGTTGGCGCCCCGTTATGTCGGTCCTTTTCAAATCCAACAACGATGTGGACCAGTCGCCTATCGCGTCAAGCTACCAGATCACATGTCAGCTGTGCATGATATTTTCCATGTATCCCAGTTGAAGAAGTGTCTTCAAGTACCTGACCAAGTGATCGACTTTGGTGATGTAGAACTAGCACCTGATTTGACTTATGCCGAGTACCCCATTAGAGTCTTAGATCAGAAAGATCGAGTCACTCGAAGGCGTACAATCAAGTCCTACAAAGTACAATAGAACCAACACACTGAAGAAGAAGCTACTTGGGAGTCTGAGGATTACTTAGAAGAAAACTTTCCTGACTTTTTTGCTTCTCTCTAGTTACAATACCTTGTCTATGTTGTAACTTGTCTCTCTTGTCAAAAGAATGGAAAACCCCATCACTAGTCTTTTGAATAAAGTTATGATGTGTTAGCTTGACACATTTTCTTTTCCATTACTTAATCCTAAGTTTTAAATCTCGGGACGAGATTTCGTTAAGGGGGAAGGGTTGTAACACCTCTGGTGTTTTGACCTATCATTAAAATTTGACATGTCATCATATGCATTGCAAATCATTCGTAAAGTAGAAAAATTTGAATGCATTTACTAAATAAGCTTTATTTTGTAAGTTGTTATTTTATGTGATACAATGTAATTCAAAACTCTGAATGAAAATCATGACCACAAGGGTCAAAATTCATGTGATCATGTGAGACCATGTATTAATTGACTCAAATAACATCCTAATGGGCCAAAGTGGGCCCAATCCAATCCAGGTATGGGCCAGTGGTACTGTAGCAGAGGGATGACCGGGTACTGCAGAACCGTGTTTCGGGGCTACTGTAGACCTGGTACTGTTCACCAAAAAATGGGCCGTCCAGCTTCGGGTACTGTTCACTGTTACTGTGTAACCAGGTTTAGTACCGTATTGAAAACTCAGGGATCGCCGGATCAACTTAAATAACCGTTTTGAACGAAACGAGGACAAAAATTTAAGCGGATTGCTACGTGGGTCGGACCACTCCTCGGAAGAGTGGTCCTGGGCCATGTATGTCTGGGTGTTACATATTTTATTTGAACATAATTTGTAATAACTTTTAATCGTACTCTGATGTATGACTTTGTATTTGTGAACTGATGTAACATGTGACACGATAGTGTGACCACTTGCGAGCTGTCATTTTACTTGTGCTCTTATAAATTAGACAGTTCTACTACATCAATCCCTATAAAAATTAAATCGATCATATCCACCTTTCTCTAATTGAGAAATTTCCCGCGAAGAATTATTAATTGGGGCCTATTACCATCTCTACTCCTACCATCTGCACTATTCTGGATGCCAGTACAGCAGGCTCTCTCGAATATGTATACTAGCCCCCCGGCCTAAACCGTGTATAAGATGCTTTTAGGGGGTATTTGGATGGGATTTTAAAATCAGGATTCTGTTTTTTGATTCTGTGCCTGTGTTAAAATAATCTAGACTCCTACTGTGTTTGGATGGGATTCTTGGATTTTGAGATTTTTCTATCTGGATTCTTAAAATCCTATGTCAAACACTACCTTAATTAATGGAAGTTCTTATATTGAAAAAAAAAATCAAGAATCAAGATGTGTGCAAAGCATCCCAGGCCCACGAGCCTATGCAGCTGCGTGGCCCGTTTGCTGGCCCTCCGCGGCTCCGCCATCCCCCACTCCAATTTTTCCTTTCTTTTCTCTGACGAAGAATCAAATTTTGTTCTCTCCTCTTCTCGAGACCAGACCACCGTATACTGGAACAATCCTCCCTCGCCGCCCCACTCATGGCCTCCGCCGCCAGCACTGCCGCCTCCGGGGCCCCGCTGCGCCTCCTCTCCTCCTCTTCGAACCGTATTTCCATGCCCTTCCTTCCTCGCCCCCACCGCCTCACCCTCTCCTCCCCCATCTCCTTCCAGCGCCTCACAGCCCGGTCCGCCGCCTCGCCGTCCCCATCCACCACTACCTCCTCTCCCTCCGGCTCCGGCTCTGTCGACCCGGCGCAACTGCCCCCCGCGCTCCGCGACATTGTCGGCCTCTTCCAGTCCGTCCCGGACGCGCGCACCCGGTACAAGCAGCTCCTCGCCTACGCCGCGCGCGTGCCGCCCATGGACCCGGCGCTCAAGACCGATGCCAACCGCGTCCGGGGGTGCGTCTCACAGGTCTGGGTCCACGCCGAGCCGGACGAGGGCGACGGAGGCGGCCGCAGCGTCAGGTTCCACGCCGACTCCGACGCGCAGCTCACCAAGGGCCTCGCCGCACTGCTCGTTCTGGGGCTCTCTGGCGCGCCCGCTGCGGATGTGGCCAGGGTGCCCTTCGAGTTCATCGAGCTGCTCGGGATCAGGCAGAGCCTCTCGCCCTCCAGGAACAGCGGCCTGCTCAACATGCTCAACCTCATGAAGCGCAAGGCACTTGAGATCGCCGGTGGTGACTCGACCACAAGTCAGCAATCAGTCCAAGAGGCTGCTGAACCGCGTGGAGTGGACGAGAAAGATCCTGAATTTGCAGCTTTCCGGGTGCAAGAAGAGGAAAGGCCAGAGGAGGCAGAGAGGCGTGACGAGGATGGACAATTGGGTGAAGTGCCACTTGATGCAGAAGGGAATGGTGCTGTGAGCGGTGGGAGGAAGGAGAGGATAAGAGAGAGTTTGGAGAGGGCACTTTCTCCAGTGGAGTTGGAGATTGAAGACATATCGCACCTCCACAAGGGCCATGCTGGGGTGGCTGGGAGCAACGGGGAGACACATTTCAATGTGAGGGTAGTGTCCAAGGAGTTTGAGGGGAAGAGCTTGCTCAAGAGGCACAGGGCTGTCTATGATCTCCTGCAGGAGGAGCTCAAGACTGGGTTGCACGCCCTGTCAATTGATGCAAAGACACCATCTGAAGTTTAGGTACTAGCTTGCCATGAAATATATATTCTTCTGTAAGAACGTCACTTGCATGCTCTTTTTGTCATCTCTATATGATTGCTTGCAAGAAGTTACAAATTTTGGTCGGTAGACAACCTTGTGCTAACCTAAGATGGTTTCATATACATAATTTAGCATTGGTTTCAGTATTCACACTGCAAAAGATTGTTTTGCTGGGCGCCTATTTCGTTTTCAGTATATGTGTTTGAATTTGACTTTTGGCCAACTATATATATGAAATGCGACAACCATCAACAGGTTAGATGCAAGCCAAATATGTGTTATATCTTAAAAATATAGTGAAGAGAAATATGCGTCGAATTCTTTACACAGTTAGAGTTAATAATAGAGAAAATTCAGTTTACAAATGTGCAAGCTGGAAGGACTGTAGATATAGAATTGGCTGTTTGTAATGTAGACTTTGATAGTTCCACACTAGGAGACAAGTAGACAAGTTAAAAAGAAAAGTTCACATTTGTATTTGTTTCAAAATATTGAACTTGCAACATACAGACCATTCCAAGTCGCAATGCAAGTACTCAGTCCCTCTGTCCTTCAATTTAAGGTCTATTTTAACTATGGACTAGGGAAAAGTCAATCTTTTTACAAGTTTTGACCAACAATTAGTCAAATTATATGCATGCTTAGTATATTAAAATTGTACCAATAGATTAGTATTCGAAGTACTTTTAAGATGGTGCTCATCTGTACCAATTTACAAGGCTTGTCTCCCCCAGAGTCTGGCTCACTTCAATGGACAGAGGGAGTACAAAAAGAGTACACTGTCCTGCCCCTCCACCAGCCACCACACATGCAACAGCAATACCACCGACACCAAAATGAATGTTTTTTTTTTCTTATTTTTTTTTAAAAAAAAACTTGTCCAGTGGGAGAAAGACCGTTCCCATGCACATATTCGAACATATTCAAATGAAATAAGGGTTCAGACAGTGCTAACTCCTTATCAAATGAAAAATAAGGGTCGGATGGTTTCAGCACCAACACCAGCTTCTACAGTATCCCATCTTTTTGGAAACGTAATGCGCTTCACCACCAAGTTCTGTTGCACGAGGATCATCCATAAGAAGTTAAGAACAGAGAACTTCTCAGCTTTGATATTGTTATATCTCTCTCACAAGATCATGCATTTGAAACTTCTTTGCTCTTCCATATGGATTTCTGCCTGCAACTTTATGAAGTGAACACCGACTTTTCTTTTGTGGTTTTTGTTAGATAGGTCATGCATTATCCAGATTTTTTGTTTTATTCAGTTGCTTTGAAGCTGTTTAATTACAAGAAGTGGCTAAGTTCTCGGTTACATGCAGTTGGAACTGAATCGTGGTGACCATGATCAATCATGGTGCCAGTCTAGGGATCATGCTATGTACTGTTTTTTGTATTAAAAATTTCAGATTTAAAACACTGGCTCTTCGCAGCACAAAATCACTGGTGTCCTCCATGTTCTTGCATCAATCAATCCTTCCCTACAATTTTATTAAGAGGGTGTACCATTAGATGTTAAGCATATCCATGGTAAAGTTGGAACTTTGAATGGTGGCGAGTCCTATTTAATGTATGGGTGGTCGGTATCCATGCTATCATACTTGTGTTACTAAGTTGCTTTATATAGTTTAAAAATCAAAGAGCCATAAGTGTCTCCTGTTAATTTCATATTTAATGTAATGGCTTCAAAGCATTTAAACATATTTTGCTCTTTTTTTTCCTATGCACTTCTTGTTTCTCGGATCAAATGTCCTTTGAATGCTTCTTCTTTTATTAGTGAGGCATGAGCCTGACATGGGATGACTCGATGGTGCCGCATACCTGATGACGAAGGTCTAATATCCCTTAAAAGAGGAAGCAACTAGTGTTTCCATGTTTTGCATTGCAATGGATCCATTTCTTAAGCTAATTTTGATTTATATATTTGAAAACAAGTGAAAGAATACCCAAAGTAAATAGGTTCAAATATGGTAACCCACATGTTTCTTGTATGCTACAATATTTGCCTCATGGGTCAATCTGAGTAGGCATCGTAAATTGATTAGTGATTCTTACAGAAGGTTAAGCATTTGGATGCCTCACCTTTTCTATTGATGGTGGATTGCTGGATCCATTATGCCTCACACTGCAATAGAAATCTTGTATTCACTGGCTCTAGGGTCTGTTTGGGACCCAGGAATACAAAATAGAGGAATGAAAAAAAATCATGAATAAGATAGAGTGATGAATAGTGGATGTTTTCTTTCCAATGTTTGCACTACTATGGTTTCCTTTCCTTTAGAAAGAACTCAATATCCCTTCATTCCAAAGACAATGAACTGATTCCTTTCCTTCAGAATTTGTTCCTTTAAAAATCCTTTGATCCAAACAGGCCCTACAATGATCTGATACACACTTTGTAGGTGGCAATTTGTATTGCTTTGGTGTCCCTGTACGAGAATGAAACGCAGTTGAGGTCTTTTGCTTGCTATATAAGCTTTGAGGTCTTTGGCATGTAAAAGCATATGTATAGAAGTTCTCACGATGTTATACATACATGCTACTTCACCGTTGTGCCTTGTGATCCCAAATACAGGCAAAGCTAATGAATTAGAATATTAGACCTTTGGTTCGATTGCATTAGCATTATTAAATGATTACATAATTATAATTTTGATGCTTTCTATTTCATGTTGTTTGGAAATGCACATCTAACAACTGTTATTCTCTCCGTCCTAAGCTATAAGACGTTTTGGCATACTATGAATCTAGGCATAACATATATCTAGATATGTAGTAAAAGTTATGAATATAGAAAAACTAAAACGTCTTATAATCTGGAACGAAGGGAGTATATGCTTACGATGGTTATATTGTTATTGTTATTTTTGCTACAATTAGTCAGTCTGATAAAATGCACCAACTGATTAAAAAAATAAACACTAACCCAACCAGTGCATTCTGGTCGCACATACGAAGACGCATACACACCAAGCATACTAAGATCGTGAAGGTGATCAGTCGCCAGTCATGCTGAATATTAGATCAGTGAAGTCTCATGGGTTCTCAAAATTCACTATCATGTCATAGCTATGTTAGATAGATAGTCTGGATTAGTTTTCATAAGTACTTCCACTGAATGTATATACCTTTCAATGGTATTGAATCTCGAAACGTGCTAATCATGGTGGTATACTTCGCGATTGAATCCTGGTTATGTACTAGTGGAGTATGTGGATGGTATCTCCATCAATTGCCGAGGTTGATTTGCTTAAGCCTACAGGTTAAGAACTCTACTTCACGGATTACCACTTAACTAAGTAACCAGTAACACCATAGCTCAGATGAGCTTATGGCATTCTTGTATTTAGCGGGCTCCGACACAATGACTTGGTTGTTGAGGTCCTTTAGCTACCTGGAAGTGTCATGTAACTACTCCATACTTGAGTTGATTCTATTTAGACGTGCATTTAGGTTGTTGAAGTCACTTGGCCTTTTACGTAGTTTGGATCGTCGACTAATAGTAATAGATAACGAGAGCATAATTAAACACCAAAAAAGGGCCGTTGGCGGCTCTGACACTGTGACCTGATTGTAGAGGTCCTTAGCTACCTAGAAGTGTCATGTAACCACTCCATACTTGATTCTATTTAGACATGTGCATTTAGGCTATTGAAGTCACTTGGTCTTTTTATGTAGTTTGGATCGTTGACTAATAGTAATAGCTAGCGAGAGCATAATTAAACACCAAAAAATGGACCGTAAAAGATTTAAGTAACTCCAAACTTGGCAGCAGGATGTAAGGAAAAATAGTTTTTTTAATTACATAATTTCCCATGAAAAATATTTGGATATTTTCTATAAAAAATAGTGGTATAACTTTTCATAAAGTCCATTTGACCTATAAATTATTAAAGCAGTCCAATCTATCACCCTTACAACTGACATAGCATCAAATAGGACAACCGACATGACGTCACGTAGGCATCAGGTTGAAACAAAAACAAATGTTTTAAAAGATGAAGAAGGGACAAACATATGGTTTCAGAGAGCTGGAGGAGGAGAAAATCATGTCTCAAGCATATACATAGTTGAGGGCATTGAGAGGACCTTTTCCGGGCAGAAAACTATGTACATGTCCATTTGGCCTAGCATCGAACGCCCAAACTCATCAAAAGGCAAGGGGGTTCAAATTCCAGCGGAATTTGTCTCCTCAACTTTAAGAGACCATGTAAGATTTAAATAATTCCAAACAAGGTTTAGTAATATAAAAGCATTATTTTACAAAGGAAAATTAAACCGCTTTTATAGTTCTTCAGGCTAAACGCATTTTCTATAATTTTTCTAGATTAGATCATATTTCAAGATTTTAAATCGCATCCCTTTTCACAAAAGTATTTGGTTTTTTTAAACACTTCTATAGTTCTTTTGGTAAAAGAAATTATTTGATATCAGTTTAATTCGATTTATCTCTCTCGCAGCTGACAGACATCTCGTAGTGGCTTTTGATAGAATCTATTTGATCTTTGAACTATCATGACATTTCGATTTGTGTCTCTGGTAGCTAACGTCGTGTCTCATTATGATAGGTTTTGTATGGACGTGTTTATAGGGTTGAATGTACGGCATCATTTATGGCTTATGTGTTGGTATACTTCAAAGAAAAATGTCATATGTTCACTTATTTTTTCAGCCGTACTTTTTCAGCGAATAAATAGTATATTTTTCTCTCGTAACAAATCAGCCAACAGTATTTTTTAGCTTATCTTTTCCACGAAGGAAACAGGACCGTCCAATTGTGTCCATGTACTCCGAGACACCGGCTCGGTTCATTAAATATTGGACAAGGTCGGTCCGACTGAAAACCAAAATGTCACGAAGGAATTTGTTTTTAGTAATGTCAAGGAAATTTTTTTTTAACACACACGGAAGTTTCCTGGAATGAACAATGAATAACCCACAGGAAAACCGATTTGATCTGATCTGGCCAAATGAGCGTCCCCACCACGTCAGTGAGTTGACGCCTGAAGGAAGGGAGGAGGAACTGCCAGCCTCAGCCTGACAGGGCAGCCGAAGAAGCGCCGCGCCGGTTCGGTGCGTGCGCTGTGCGCTCTCGTCTTCCCCCCGCTCCCCCCAAATTTCCCCAGCATTCGCATTCGCATTCGGATTTCCCCCCACGACTCCCCCCCGAACCCCAACCGCCTCCGCCGCGCCCTCCGTCCCATGGCGTCCCCCTCCCTCGCTGCCGCGGCCACCAGCCCCGCCTCCTCCCCACTAACCCTAGACGCCATCCCCCTCGCCTCCCGCCCCGCCCCCGGAAGCGCCGCCACCGCCGCCGCCCCGCGCAAGCGGTCGGTCCTCCTCCTCGACCACCGTCCGCACCCTGCCTCCCCTACGCCCCCGCTCCTCTCCTCAACTGCCGCCACCGCCGCCGCCGCCGCCGCTGCCGCGTCCGCTCCGCACGCGCGCCGCAAAAGACCTCCCACCCGCCCCGGCCGCGGTGGCAGACAGTGCTCAGCATCGCCGCCAAGAACGCGACCCTCCTCGCCGCGCTGCTCTATCTCGGGGCCTCGCCTGGCGCTGGTCCCACCCGCCCCCGCCCTCCCCGCCGCCCGACCGCGCCGCGCTCGAGGGCTACGCCGCCCGCGTCGACGAGGTCGAGGCCTCCCTCGCCCGCACCTTCCGGATGATCCAGGTGCAGCTCGAGGCCGTCGACCGCAAGATCGACGGCGAGGTCGGCGCCGCCAGGGGCGACCTTCTTTCTCTGCTGGAGGAGAAGCGGCTCGCGCTCGAGGGCCAACTCACCCGCCTCGACGCCAGGGCCGGTGAGCTCGGCGACGCGCTGGACGGGCTCAAGCGGATGGAGTTCCTCCGGAAGGACGAGTTTGAGAAGTTCTGGGACGAGGTGAAGGGGAGTCTCGGCTCGGGTTCCGGGAGCGAGGTTGATCTGGACCAGGTTCGTGCGTTGGCCAGGGAGATCGTCATGAGGGAGATTGAGAAGCATGCCGCAGATGGGATCGGCAGGGTTGACTACGCCGTGGCCTCAGGTGGGGGAAGAGTTGTCCGGCATTCGGAGGCCTATTTGCCTAAACGTGGTGGTTTGATGGGCTGGATGCCTGGAGGTGACGTGGGGCCGAAGCCAGAGAAGATGCTTCAACCGAGCTTTGGGGAGCCTGGACAGTGCTTTGCCATGCAGGGTAGCAGTGGGTTTGTTGAGATCAAGCTCAAGTCTGGAATACTTCCTGAGGCAGTAACACTTGAGCATGTGTCTAAGGTAAGGTTTTTGGCCACCCAACATTTTAGTCTTGCATGGCTATGCGCTTAATTATTGCTTTTTTTTTGTCTTTTAAATATTATCATAAGCAGTGGATGACATTGTCTGAGTACGAATGTAGTAATGTAGGATGCGCCACCAGTTACTGAACTTACTGCTTGTTAAAAGTTTAGATTAGTTTCTTGATGGGCTTAATGCATTATGTTTGTAGCATTGAGTCCAATTGTATTCAATTGCAGATAGAAGCCCCTCAAATTATGTTTCATGATTACAGTCCTAAGCATTTCATGTTAAATTTGAATCGGCTTGTAATTATTATTCCATGTTTATGGGCATCATTGCATGCATAAGCCAGTAAAGGAAGAATGAATCTTATTTTTGCAATCAATGCTGGTGCTAGGAAATTTTCTTTCTGGATGTATCCTTACTGAAAAGTGAAAACTGAACAAGACTGACTCTTTCAAATCATGTATTAATATGAAGCTGTGCTGTGTTCTTGAATTGGCTTGCTTTGCTTGCTTTCCTTTTCAGCTTGGTAAACAATACTTGCTATTCTCATTTGTAAATATTTGTGAATTGTGATACTGATTAAGCTCTAGTCCAATGCATTTTATTATATAATTGAGAAATGGAAAAATGGTTTGTCACCTCTGCGAATCATTTGTCTGATTTGAAGTGAATTGCATTTTCCACTTTCTTTTCCTGTTGGGAAAATTATGAAATAGTACTACTCAACTTGTTTTTTCCTTGTTATCAATCTTGCAATGATTTGATAATTGCAATTACTTCTTGCAATGGGCTAGCGTGTAGTACAATAATTGTTCCAGATCATGACCTTTATATAGTTTCAGTAATGTGCTAACTGAATACTTATTGTTCGAAACCTGGGTACTCTTGTATTAGGTTGACAGTTTTTGTTGGTAACTATTGGGAACAAATGAACTTGTATTGTTAGATTAGTATTGTAAGTGTCATACTATGAAGAGAAACTTCATTTATCTTTGAACAATCTCCTCTTTATGTTGTCCATTTTGATTTTTAAGTTAAGTATTCACTTCCATGCTCTTCCAGACTGTATGTCAAATGATGCTTCGTGGTTTGTTTCCTCTTGATTGTTGCTTCTTTTGAATGAACTTTTGCTCTCGTGTCCTGTTAACTGTTACTGTCGCATTTCAAACAGAAAGGGAAAAAAATGTAACTGTCTCTTAGCAATATTGGCACTATGTAAATAGCTATGCAAGGAATTACTTCCTCTTTGTTTTATCTAAGATGGCAATGCTGAGCCCACTTGTTCAGCTGGTAGAGTGCTGGTGGTTATCTTGACAGAGAAGGGGGAAAAACTCTAATAAGCATCATCTAAATTGCCAGCTTTATGGGGATTTATCTGTAGTTTGGTAAACATAAAATTTGTTAGTCCCCTGTTTGGATCCCATGAATTGAAACTAATAACTAGAAAGTGCTTCCCATTTCATTATTAGATTACTTTCCAATTCCTCTCAATTCCTTGGAACCAAAAATATAAAATGGCTATCGAGTGCATGCATTTATCATCCTTATTTGACCATAGTGAAAACTACACATGTTAGTTCTGAAGCTAGCATGAACACTTACTCTGGTGCATGACATGCAGGATGTGGCGTATGACAGGTCTACAGCTCCAAAAGACTGTCTGGTGTCTGGATGGTACGAGGAGACTCCTGGTGAGACCCAATCGGGTTATGCTGCAAAGATGGCTTTGGCGGAGTTCACGTATGACTTGGAGAAGAACAATGTGCAGACATTTGATGTGTCAGCCCCAGATGTAGGCGTGATCAATATGATCCGGTTGGATTTCACTTCGAATCACGGAAGCTCGCTGCTGACATGCATCTACCGCCTCCGGGTCCATGGCCATGAACCGGTCTCTCCAGGAACCGCAGGTTTTCAGGCCTGAGTTGTGGAAGCCTTGTGTTTCTATTTGCTACGTGATTCACTTGCCGGTCCGCTCTTTGTGCTCAATCTAGTTTTGGTCTAGGGCTGTCATGTACACACTGTAAATCTAACAATTGTTTGCTGGTAGCCTGGCGTCTTCCTAGGTCCTAGTCCAGTGACATGTGGTAGGTGGTTAGTTTGTGCTATGAGCACATGGAATTTCAACAGTATTTTGTTGTGCAATTGTTTGTTTGAACCTTGGAAAGGCTTGTGCTGTTGTCTTTGGTTTAAGCAAACTTCCATTGATTTCCCGTTTCCAATGATGGATGATCTTCGTAGCAGGAACAGGTCCTTCGCTATTTTTTTTGAAGCAGTCCTTCGCTATTTTTTTTGAAGCAGTCCTTCGCTATTTTAAATGTATATGAAAGTCGTGAGCCCCAGATTTTGTGAACAAAGGTCCTTGTTCCATAATTCCATGATGCCTTTGTGGATGAAGACGTGCACGAATCTCAAAGCCGACCTTCTAGAAGTCAGCTTGTCTCGTCGTCACCCCCTGACCCCTGCGCGTCTCTTCATTCTTTCTCCCTGCCCAGCTGAAGGAAGCCGCCTTTGCAGTTTTTGGACGCGGGACGGCCTCCGCCCTTTTCGTCCGTCGCGAGGAATTCCTGCCGAGGCGTAGAGCAGGTACGGCGCGTGGCTCGGAAGTCGGAGCTAACCTCCCACTCATTTCATTTGCTGTCCTTCCTCCCGCTCTGGATCCGCCGTCTCTGTGCTGCGTCATTCCGATGCTCGTGCTTTCCCCAGATCTCTCATGCTATCGTCTGACTCCTTGCCGACCGCAATCCGGCTCGGCCCAAGCATGCGCTGAATGTGCAGGGCGAAGCGTTCGTTGGGGACGAACGTTTAGGGCGGGGATTGGAGAAGACAAAGCTGCGGGTTGGCGCAAGCAAGCAAATTTGGGGTCCTAGCTTGAAGGGCTACCATCTTTCTTTCTTTTTTTTTTGATTGGTGAACTACACATCACATGCCAATCTCCCGTTTCCGTACTCTTGTATTGTGTTTATTATTTTAATTATCTCCCGTAATAGCATTTGTTCTGTCTGTAAATAGGTGGGATCGAATTATCTGTTAAGGTTTCTTTAATTTTATGATTTTACATCTATAATTTCTAACTCAATTCTTTGTTTGATTTCATTGCTCTGTCTGTTGGATCATGAAACTAGCGTCTGTTTGATTTTACATCTATAATTTCTAATTATTTTATTTGTTTGATTTCATTGCCCTGTCTGTTGGATGGTGTAACTAGGGTCTGGTTGGTAGAACGCATTTTGCCGGCCAGCTCCACGTGAGAATTTGAAGGATGTTTTCTTACGTGGGGAGCTGAAAAAAAAATTGCTCCTCAAATTCACCTCTCTCCGCCCACGCCTGGCTGCAGTAGGCTGCCGTCACCCCTCTCCACGGCCTGATTCGCCTCTGTCTCCATCTGTGCCGTCCTCTCCGCCGCGCCTGACCCAGGTAACTTGTCAAACGGACAGCTTCTTGATTCACTTTACAAAGGGAATCAGTTCCCGGAAATTGGGAGTTAAATTCCGTGGATCCATCTTCTAGTTTATCAGAAATAGTTCGAATATATAAGGGATCCAGTGCCAGAGGCTCCCACATGAGTGGGGTCTGGGGAAGGGAAAACCCGAGGCAAGCCTTCCCCCCGCAAAATCTACGGAGAGGCTGCTTTGAACCTGCGACCTGGTGACTCAGTGAGACAGCTCTCACCACTGCACTAGGCCTGCCCTTCAGTTCGAATATATATAGATCATAAAACAAAAACAACAGTTGCCCTCGTGTAGACAATATGTTTATTTTATTTTCTGGGACATACCAGTTTCCTGTTGTCCTTGTGGTATACAATCATATGCGTGCAAACTGAAGCCTTAATGTTTTTTCATGAGACCTTCCCCCTCTTTTTTTCTCACAGGGATGGCTGGAAAAGGAAGCTATGTTCCTCCACAATATATCCCGTTATACGGCCTAGATACTGAAGAGGATCGTGTCCCTGCTGTGGAAGAGAACCATGCTGCGCACCATAAACTAAACCGGGATCCAACACAATGGTCATCTGGCATCTGTGCCTGTTTTGATGATCCCCAGAGCTGTATGCCACTTTCTAATCTGTGATCCTTGATTTACAGAAGAAAATATAAAAGGTGCTATTTGGTTGCATGTTAGGTTGTATATAGCAAGTAAACACTAAAATGTAATGCTTTTCTTTTCTCTACATACCAAATGTAGCATGTTCTTGTGTTTATGTAGTGTAATAATGATGAATCTGTGCTTCAGAGAGAAATATTTGAATTCAGCTATGATATATTAGGATAATCTTCCTTATTAATCTGTAACCCTTCTTGCCTGTTTTCCTTACTAGTATTGCTTGGTGGTGGATTTTTAGGCTGAACTAGTTCTTGTAGATAAATAACAATATCTCTGCATGTTACTTGACATACATGTGATGTGTTCAATCTGTTCAATTCATTACTCATCTAGCGCACTGCACACATATCACAATGAGCTAGCTGTTTTTTTAGGGAAGTAATACAGTAAGGTTCCATAGATTCTTATTCTGGTAGTGCAATATGAAAGCAGTCCTACTACTGCTCTTTTCCTTACTAGTATTGCAAACATTGTAAACATGTGAGAATGAGTGCATGAATGGGTTGTGACAGTGGAGAATACCTATTTGTGTTCTTGTTTCTAGGAAGCTATCAATAACCTAATGTCGCCCTCTCATTTATGGGTAATAAAAAATTGGAAAGGTCGGAACTACTTCTCATGGTGAATAATGCTAGCTACCATCTGCCCAATCTTACGCAGCTGACTTTGATTTTCTTTTTCAAGTTCAACAAAATACTGTAGGATTGGGATGATATAGATCTTACACTGCTTCAACAAAGCAAGTTAATATTCGGTATTATCATGCTTGTTGCTCCTTTGAGTTGTCATTCGAAATAATAGTAGTGAAGTGTTTCCTAATATGTAGCTGTCTCTGTCTGGCTTTACATATAATAAGTTAAAATAATTAGGTTTCTGCTGCGACATTTCATAAGTAAAGTTATGTAGCTTTAAGCGTCAGCGTGTCATAAGTATAAAAATAAGAAGTTTGGATAAAATGCTCATTCCTAATTATTCCCTGATGCTTTGTTTATCGGTGGTTTATAAATTTGCTCAACTGAGAAGGCGACAACAAAATGTAGCCATGGTAACTAGGACCAACCAAACAGCATGTTAGTCAGATGGAACTCTTTTTTTTCTCGAAAAACGCAGGAGAGCTGCGCATCATTATATTAAGAAGTGAAAAATGGGAAAGAACCCATACAACACACCCCAGGCCAGCCAAAAGGCAAGCCCACACACTCACACCAACTCACGCCAACTCACACAAAAACCCCCAAACTCTCTGATCCTTAGGATATAAGCGCGCCCGTGCCTGTTTCGAAGGGCGACCAACAGCAGCACTAGGATCCTAAGTCCTAACCCTCTGAATGGGGGGCTAGTAAGATGAAACTGTACTTGAATAGAACATCTTTTGTCTATCTATTGGGTACACTATATTTATTCAATCCAGTTTGGAGGTGTCATCATCCAATGCATAATCTTGTAATACTGAAAAATCCCATTTACTCGCATAACAAGATCTTCTGCCCATTTTTCTAGGTTGTATTGGTGCGACTTGCCCCTGTTTTCTTTTTGGAAAGAATGCACAATTCTTGGGATCTGGAACTCTTGCTGGATCATGCACTACACATTGCATGTTGTGGGGCCTTCTTACAAGTCTATGTTGTGTATTTACTGGAGGTCTAGTATTAGCAGTTCCAGGGTCTGCCGTTGCTTGTTATGCTTGCGGATATCGCAGTGCACTAAGAACAAAGTACAATCTTCCGGTATGTGGTTTCAACCTCTGCGGTTGTTATATTAGTGTGTTTTTTTTATATTTTCCCCTGCATATTGGCAATCAGAGGCAATTTTCTTAATATCCTGCAGCTTTTTCTCAACTACTGTAATTTGGCTATGGGGAGCAGATGAGTAGTGCTGCATATGATTTTTATTTTTGTGTTTAAATATACTAGTGACATACTAGGCCTTCATACAGGGCATTAGGGAAACATCCTCCACTGTTTCTAATAGTGAGCTCTATCATATAGTCGATGTGCCTTTTCTATCCCTAAAGTAGATGATAACTTGATAAGCTGTTTAAATATCATGTTCTTGTATCCCTTTACAGCTATTGTGTTTGCAATTGCATTGCACAAAGTCACTGTCAATGATACGGTGGCTTTTGTAACTGGATGCTTTGAAAGTTTTACATGGCCATTTGCTATGAATATGATGAATTCATAGAAATGTGGTTGACTACCTCTAGAAATTAGTTTATTTGGGGTTTCAACTGTAGATCATTCTGATTTCTGATGTACTACAACAAAATTTTGCGGAGTTTTAATATTCTACTGTCATTTACCATTAGTGTGAACTTTTTTTGTCTCTCTGATGACGGGTTAATACTTTTTTCTTGCTCACCCTGGAATGTTTTTCCTATGCAGGAAGCACCCTGTGGCGATTTGATGACACACTTATTCTGTCACTTGTGTGCTATATGCCAGGAGTACAGGGAGATCCGTGAGAGAACAGGCAGTAGCTCATCAGCAACTCATGTGACTCCACCTCCAGTTCAGACGATGGACGAGCCCTGATCTTAACTGATATGAATGTATGTTATCTGACAAACCTTTTGGTGTGTGACCTGACCTGGTGCTGCCTTTGCCTTCCGGCGTTTAACATATTTTTGTTCTGTGCTCTCACAATGTTACTGTGTGGTTTGTAGAGTTGTAAACATGGCTTTTGAACTAGTGAACTACTGACAGTTCACGGAAGTTGTAAACACAGTTGTATCATGGAACTGTAGCAGAATTGCTAAGTGTAACTTTTTTTCGTTATTTATATTGGTGAGAGGATGGGAAGGGAAAAAGAAAAGAAATGCACTTCTGTTGTTGAAGGTTTCATTGTGTTTAGTTCTAAAGACAATTCCCTATGTGCATTTAAAAAAGATCGCAATGCCATGTGTGTCTCTGGAAAAGTTCAGCGGTCTTCAACGTCACTACTCCAACTTTTTCATGTTCTCTATGCCACTTCCTTCAGTTTGGGCTCTAACGCCGTCAAAATGTAGGTGTGAAAAGACGAAAATATCCTTAAGTCTAAATATGTTATTAATTTTTTTTAGCATTTTAACGACTTCAAATGAAAAAATTCAAAACTAGAAAGTCGTAGATCTCATCGAGATCTATAATTTTCATATAAAATTATTTTCATTTAATTCCATAAAAAAATTGATATGATTAATGTATCTTAGAAAAATTATTTTTTTTTTGCGGAATTAAATGAAAATATTTTTTATATAAAAATTATAGATCTCAACGAGATCTACAACTTTCTAGTTTTGAGTTTTTTCATTTGAAGTCGTTAAGATGCTCAAAAAAAATAACATATTTAGACTTAAGGGTATTTTCGTCTTTTCACACTTACAGTTTGACGGCGTTAGAGCCCAAACTGATGAAAGTGGTATGGATGACATAAAAAAGTTGGAGTAGTGGCGCTGAACCTGAACTTTTCTAGGGGCACATAGGGCATTGCGATCTTTTTTAATGCCACACAGGGAATTGTGAGTTCTCTCTTCCTTCAGGCTTGAGCATCATCATCCAACCAGAGGGTTCACCACATGCCCAAGGAACAGCAGGACGCCACTCCTCTCCACGATGGCGAACAAGAAGGGCCGGTCCGCCACGAAATCTACCAGCGGTGGACCCATCCTTGCACACTCTTGTATGCACACGGCCATGGCCGCGGCGGCCACGGTGCCGACCTCGTCCACCTCTACGGTGGCCTTGTGGTACACTCCTGAGATGAAGAGCCCGTTTCCACCGGACACCATACCGGAGAAGTCGCCGTTGGCAAAGGCTCGGTTGACTCCCAGCTTCTGGATATCGCCGGACGCCTCAAACTCGAACGTGAACTTGAACTTTGGCACCATGAACCGCCCTACCGGGACCTTGTCCACCGGCGTATGCCTCCTGATGAACCCCGGTGTCGAGACGGCCTTATCGTAGAGATCACTGATCTTAAGAGCCTCACCGTCGGGGAGGAGTAGAAGCTGTTAGACACAACATTGCCTCTAAACTGTAGATCGGGGGTAGGCTTTTCTCTTAGATGTGAAAACTGTTGATGTACCTTGGTTTAGGTCACCATTCGGTCCATGGCGCCACAGCGGCTTGGACGACGGTGACACGGCAGCTCAGTGCAGTGGTTCTAGCGTAGTGGAGTCGAGGTCCAGTGGCGACGGCGGAGTCGGTGGGGCTTCCCGTCGCTGGTAGCACTACTTAAGATCAGATTAGGTTTTCTGTTGGTGGATCACGGCGGCTCAGACCAACCTCGTAGTTAGAGCCGTGATCCCCACCTCTCTTTTATATGTGTTGTGCGACAGGGGCCCACCAACCATATTAGGGTTGGGTGCCCCCGATCAGGGCGCAGAGACAAGGGCCCAATTGGTGAAGATCAACTAACATTCTCCCCCTTGATCTTACTACCATCTTTCAATTTCATATCATTTACTTTTGTTCATTCCATTACAGATTAGCACATAGAGCATGTTTCATCGTCACAGTCAATTGCCAATAGATTTAACAGCTACAACACACCACTCTGTTCTGAAATAGATACTTAACTTTGGATCTTCTTTTGTCCAGGAATTTTAGGCTTTCCTTAAACTCATGCTAGCTATATGTTCTTTGAACACGTTGAGTGGCAAGCCTTTTATAAGCGGATCCGCAAGCATCTTTTCTGTACTTATATGCTCAAGACTTATGACATGATCCCGGACTTTATCTTTCACAACATAATACTTTATGTCAATGTGTTTGGCAGCACCACTTGACTTATTGTTGTGAGTATACTGTACTATTGAACTATCATCGCAGTATTATTTAAGTGGTCTATAGATGTCGTCAACCACCTTCAAATCGGGTATGAACTTCTTTAGCCAGTTCACCTGCCCCGTTGCCTCATAACATGCTACAAACCGTCATACATTATGGACGATATAGTGACGGTTTGATTTGAGCTTTTCCATGAAATAGTTCCCCCTACGAAAGTGAATACATATCTAGACGTGGATTTTCTATCATCTCCTGCATAATCAAAATCTAAATATCCCACTATATGGAGTGAATCAGATTTTCTATACGTCATTATGAGGCTTTTCGTTCCTTGCAAATAACGCAACTTTTTTTACTAATTTTCAGTGTTTTGTTCTAGGATTGCTCTGGAATCTGCCAAGTAACCCGGTAACAAATGCCAAGTCAAGGCGCGTACATACTTGAGCATATTGCAAGCTTCCGACAGCTGAAGCATATGGAACCATTTTCATTTGATCGATCTCATATTGGTTCCTGGGGCATTGAAAATCCCCATATCTGTCGTCCTTGACTATAGGAGCAGGTGAGGGACTACATTTGTGCATACTGAATTTTTTTAAAATCTTTTCTATGTATGCCTTTTGTGACAGTCCTAATACCCCTTCTATCTCGGTGAATCTCGATCCCTAAAACGAACGAAGCTTCACCAAGATCTTTCATATCAAATTTTGAGGACAAAAACTTCTTTGTCTCCAGTAGTAGACTGACATCACTACTAGTAAGTAAGATATCATCCACATACAGGACAAGAAAGATAAACTTCTCATTCTTAAACTTTGCATAGACACAATTGTCATTTACATTCTCTTTAAACCCAAAATTCCTTATTGTCTGATCAAACTTCAAGTACCACTGTCTTGAAGCTTGTTTTAATCCATAAATGGATTTCTTTAGGCGGCATCCCATTCGTTCTTTTCCTTCCATGACAAAACCATTCGGTTGTGCCATGTAAACATTTTCCTCCAAGTCCCCGTTGAGAAATACCATCTTTACATCCATCCGATGTAATTCTAAATCGTAATGTGCCACTAATACCATTATGATTCTGAAGGAATCCTTACATGAGACTGGAGAAATGTCTCATTGTAATCAATCCCTTCTCTTTGCGTAAAGCCTTTTGTCACAAGTCGTGCTTTATATCTCTCTATATTTCCTTGAGAGTTAAGTTTTGTTTGGTAGACCCATTTATAGCCTACTATTTTGGCTACTTTAGGAATTATTTCCAAATCCCAAACTTTATTGGCATTTATAGATTCCATTTCATCTTTCATGGCCTCAAGCCACTTTGATGAATAATCAGTTCTCATGGGTTCTTCAAATGAGGTGGGATCATCCTCCATTTGAAATTTCTCAGTGTTGTATACTTCATAGTCAGCAGGAATAGCTGATTTTCTAAGTCTTTGAGACCTTCTAGGGGCCTCCACATTTGATACATCTTCTGTTTGAGGCTGTTGTTACTCCCCCTCATGTGTGGCAATAGGTTCTATAGGATCCTGAAGAACAGGTTCCTTATCGTCATTCATTGTTGCCACAAGCAGAATAACAACAGGTGCTGGCACTACAATATCTTGCACTGTTGGTGCAGCGACAGCAGGTAGTGAGAAAAATGGCTCATGAATCATCGGAGTGGGCGCATACACCCGCTTCTCTTCAAGGTCAATTTCTTGAGCTACCATGCTCCCCCTCATCATTTCATCCTCTAGGAAGACAGCGTGTCTCGTTTTCACAAACTTTGTATGTCTGTCTGGATAGTAGAAACGAAAACCTTTTGACTTTTTTCTGGGTAGCCATTAAAATGGCAACTTGCTGTTTTGGGATCTAGCTTCTCAATATTTGGGTTAAATACTTTAGCCTCAGCAGGACTCCCCCACACACGTAAGTGTTTAGTGATGGTACTCTTCCTGTCCACAACTCATACGGTGTTTTGGACACCGACTTACTTGATACTCTATTGAGAATATGAATGGCGGTTTTTAACGCCTCCATCCATAGGCTCATCTGTAAGGTGGAGTAACTTATCATACTGCGCACCATATCTATCAGGGTACGATTGCGTCTTTCAGTTACTCCATTCTACTGAGGTTCGCCTAGTGTAGAATACTGGGCTACTATGCCACTCTTCTGGGGTATGCCGACCGTAGTACTCCCCTACGGTCAGACCTGACTATCTTAATCTTTAATATCTTAAATTTATCCAATGCTTCTATTCTTTCTTTGATTGGATAAATATAACTATAATGGGAGTAATCATCTGTGAATGTTATGAACGAATCATAACCATCCACACTCTTTATAGGAGACTGACCACAGATGTCTGTGTGAATAATCTGTAAAATTCCTGCACTTCGTTTGGCATCTTTCTTAATTTTCTTTACATACTTTCCTTTAATGCATTCTCTGCATTGTTCTAAATCTGAGAGCTCTAATGGAGGAAGAATATATTATTCTTAACTAGTCTTTCTATTCTCTCCCTCGAAATATGACATAAACGACAGTGCCATAATTTCGACGACGCATCGTGAGCTCTCTTATACCACCATTTCCAGAGTAACTCTCTGTCACCAGCTGCTTTATCAGCTAGGTAGCATATGTCTTTGAAGAGCTAGTGAACTGACTCTTTATTCTATAAAGGTACTCGGTGACCGTGTCACACTCTGGGATTGAGCCCACAATTACAGGCTCAATCGTGTTCTTTATCACAGTCAAACATTTCTTGTTGGCAGTGACCCACTTCCTATGCACAAGGGCATAGGACATCTTTTGGGATTCAAAATCCCTCTCTTTAGTTGTCCAAATGGCATCAGCCTCGTTTGTCTCCCTTACCGATGCCACAGGCTCTGTGGAACACGATGAGGTGACTGCCCAGTCCATCTTAGTCAAGATGAAGGCCAAGTCAAACTTTTCTTCACATAAAAAATAACAACAATTGCATGCCTTGATTCCAATGTTGGTCAAAATCAAAACATATAATTGTTCTTATACATTAAAATTAACAACTGTCCTTATACACTAATTCTACATCACCGCTGGGCAGAAATAGAATTAATGCATAAATCATATTAAAATTACGATATTGTTATTAACAACGTTGGTCAGAAAATAACAATATCATAATTATGTCAAAATCTCTTTTCTTTAATTATACAACTGTTCTTATACACTAATTCTACATCACCGTTAGCAGTAAAACGGCCCAGCAAGCCAGCGCAGTGCCCGACCCAGCGGCGCAGCAGCAGTGCGCGCGGCCCATTTGCGCAGCGCGGCCTAGCGCGAAACTTCGGCCCAGCAGCCAAGCGCGCCACGCGGTCCCCGCGCCTAGGCCACAACCTGGGCCTAGGCTGGGAATTCGGCCCACACGTGCGTGCCCCGGCTGAGGTGGAAACTCATTTTACGCCCGGGCTGAGGTGGAGCCTCATTTTTCACTCCTCTGCCTTTCTCTCTCTCGCGCCGAGTCGACGTCAGCGGCGGCGGCCATGGTGGCCGCCGGCGTCGTGAGGAAAGCAGCCATCGGAGCATGTCCAGCAGTTCCCCTTCCTCCTCTTCCTTTCTTTTCATCGCGCTCCTTCTTCCTTCTCAGTGCAGCAAGCAGCAACCGAGCGAGCGAAGCAGTGGAGCGTGCAGCCATGGCGCCGTCGCCGGCCCCCTCGCCGGCGTGCGCCCCCTTGGCCAAGCCCGGGCGAAACAGCTCCCCCGGCTCGGTCTTCTTCTCCCGCGCCGGCGAAGGGTCAGCCCGGCGCACGGCAAGGTAGGTGCCTTTCCTCTTCGTCCCCGTCCCCTTCTTATTTTGGATTTGGATTCTACTTTTCTTATCCGAACCGGTGTTGGGGATTAGGGTTTAGTTATAGGGTTAGGGTTCGGAAAACCCTCTTTCTTCTCAGATCCGAATGGGGTCGGTTCTTTTCTTGCCGCGCGCCGGCGAAGACGGCGGTGCGGCACCTTTCCCCGCGCGGTGGCGGTGGTGACCGGGAGTTCAGTGACGTCCGCCACCCCTCGGTCTCTTTTCAATTTTCTTTTATCCGGTTAGGGTTAGGGTTTCATTCCGAAACGGATCGAACCCTTGCGATTTCTTTGATTTCTTTTCAATGCTTTACCCCATACTAGATCTACACACTGGCAACCTTGGCTCTGGTACCATTGTTAGCAACAACAGTGCCTCTAAACCATAGATCGGGGTAAGCATCTTACTTAGGGTTCCTCTAGTTCGCCCTGGCACAGTTGCGCCATAGCCACGTGGACGCCGGTGTCGAGGGAGCTCGGTGCAGTGGTTCCAGCGTAGTGGAGTCGAGGTCCAGTGACGACGGCAGAGTCGGTGAGGGTTCCCGTCGCTGGCAGCACTACTGTAGATCGGATTAGGTTTTCTGTTGGTGGATCACGGCGGCTCAAACCAACCTCGTAGTGAGAGCCGTGATCCCCACCTCTCTTTTATATATGCTGTGCGACAGGGGCCCACCAACCATATTAGGGTTGGGTGCCCCCGATCAGGGCACAGAGACAAGGGCCCAATAGGCCGTGGTGGAGATCAACTAACAGAATCATGTAGAACGCCACCTGCCGCCCGCCGCCGTCGTTCTTGTAGGGCAGCTTGAGTGCCTTGAAGCCGGGGAACACCGCGACCTGCTGCTCCTTGGAAAAAAAACTCGTGGTCATGAACGGCGCGCGCACGGTGGCGCCGTCGGGGAGATGGAACGGCGCGGCGATGGTCCTTGACCGATCGAACGGCCGAGCCCACGTCCCCTTGAAGTAGATAGCGTTGGCGAGGACGAGCCGGGAGGCAGGACGTCGCCGATGAGCCCTTTCGTCGCTTCGCTCACGAACACGTTGACTCGCCGCCTCATCGCCTCGGGCTCCGAGACGAAGTCGACGGACTCCGCGACCGCCGCGTAGCACGACGCGGCGGCGTCCCTGAACTCCGGCGTGAGCGCCCTGCCGCGCGCCCGCGGCCACCAGCGCGAGCGCCGCGTGGAACGACAGCGGCGAGACGATGAAGTTGCCGCCTGCCGCCCGCAGGCCGGCCTGCCTCGCGAGCGGCAGGCACGACCCGCCGCCGCCGTCCGCGTCGAGGTCAGGCGGCACCACCACGGGGACAGAACGGCGGGCGGTGCCAGCGAACACATCCGGTTGCTGGTGTCGCCATTCCGGTTCCGGAGCCGCAAGCCCGGCGCCGAAGCCGGCGAAGGGCACCTCGCCGGGCGGTCCCCACGGCGCGTTCAGCGTCGATGGACCATAAAATGGGTTCGCGAACGACGTGGGCATGCTCCACGGGAACGGATCAACAGGTGCCTGCTGCGCGAACACGGGCGCGTGCGCGTGCTCGGGCGCCCACGGGTGCGGCGGGGCGAAGGCGATCCACGGCCCCGCCGTGGACCCGAAGCTCAAGTCGCCCGCGCCTTGTCCGTCGTTGTCTCGGGGGGCTGCTCCTGCTCGTGTCGCGGTGCGCTCGTCGCCGTGGTGCTGGACGCCGCGACGCGGTGTGCTCATCGCGCACGTGAGCTGCGAGGCCTCAGCTCAGAGCGCTCCGGCTGCTGAGGACGAAGCGCGAGGCGTATGGTTCGTCACGCTGACTAGCATGGCGGGGACCGGGGATCTATTGGCTCACCACCGCCGGGGAACCGAAACGAAAGAACGTACCGGTAGAGTGGTAGTTGATAATTTTGTATGTTCCTTACAGAAAGAAAGAAAAACTTTTTACGGAAAATTGGCGCGAAGATGCCCCCTGCGACTGCCGTGCGTTCTCTCGACGGAAACTCACCGGGGTCGCCGAGTGGCTTCAGCGGTTGCACAAATTGAAAGGCTGGATGGTTGAGTGGGATGAGAATGTTGCGTGTCTGGTGCTCCATTTATGGAGAAACGGGGTTGTATTGAGCCGCTAGTTTCTTCAGTGACAAGTAAGCTTGCTCCAAGTCAACGGAGGCTCTGAGTAAACTAAAGAGTAAAACCATTCGGCAAGCGCGTACAGCTTGGTTAGGTCGTAGAGCTTTGATGGTAGCAATGGCGAGCTCATGGCACAGCGTTCGCTTCACGCAGCTTTCACACATCATTAAACTACACACAACAATTATTATATTTAATAAAACTTTCAAAAAATTCAGTGTAGAAAATGTTTGAATCGAAGGGCAGTAACGATGCACCAATTAGGTTCTCATCTCGTGAGGAACAACGAGGGGTACTTCGACCGACAGATCAGCAGCGAAACCGTATCACATTCATAATTGACAAAACAATTTGCTTCAAAAACCTCCTCAATGTGAGGCAATGTAAGGATTAAAAACCATAGGACCAACCGGTCCATTCTAACCTTTTGCTATGATCAACAATGGTTATAAAGAGTCTTCTCTGTAACCGTTTGCGTACAAATACAGCACAATGGAACACTAGCACATGGAGAAAAGGACATAGCTGGTTTTTGTTTTTCTTTTTTAATTCTGACACAGGTCCTACTTATCGATTTAGCGCTAGAGTGTTGGAACTTCTGGCAATGGAGTTGAACTTTGTTAGCTCAGTTCTATCTTTACACTGGAGCTGCCCTTAGATCGTGTAGTACTAAACACTTGCTTGTAGCTTTTTAGCGTCATGGTTTACTATATTTTTGTTGACTAACTTAAAGTAACCGGAATTTCCTTTTTTTTCCCCCAACAATATGGAGATCAAGTAGTCGAAAAAAGGATTGATTTTTCATTCCTAAAATTTCGAAATCCATTATGTCATATCTTTCAGATCACTAAAATAATAGAGATAGGGAAAATATACAGCAATTACGATTTTTCCAGATCCATTATTTTGTCTCGTTCACATCACTAAAGTGAGAGATATTATGTTGGGAAAATGGCACAAGCATTTAGAAAAACAACGGCGTCTTGGCATTCCTCTCGATGAACAAGGAAATGGCAAATAGTTTAGCCACCTCTGCAGCTGCGGCCTGCGGGTGGGTGGATCACTCCGCCAGTGGATTCACCACATGGCCGAAGAAGAGCACGGCGCTGCTCCTCTCCTCAACGATGGCGAACAAGAAGGGCCGGTCCGCCACGAAATCCACCGGCGGGATGGCGCTCCGGCTTAAGCAAATGGACACGGCCGTGGCCGCGGCTGCCACGGTGCCCTCCTCGTCCACCTCGACGGTGGCCTTATGGTACACTCCCGCGATGGAAGCCCCACCTCCGCCGGCGAACATGCCGGAGAAGTCGCCGCCTCCAAAAGGGCTGGTGACACCCAGCCTCTGCATCTCCTCGCTCGCCTCGAACCCGAACGTGAACTTGAACTTGGGGACCATGAGCCGCCCAACCGGGACCTTGCACACGGGCGTGTGCTTCCTGATGAACCCCGGCGTCGAGACGACCTTGTCGTAGACATCTCCGAGGCCGTGGTCGTCGTCTGGGAGGAGCAGGAGCATGTAGAAGTACGCGGCCTGGTGCCACTGGTGGCCGCTCTTGCAGCTGTAGGGCAGCTTGAGGGCCCTGAAACCGGGGAACACGGCGACGTATTGCTGCTGCTCATACCTGCTCGTCGTCATGAACGGCGCTCGCACGGTGGCGCGGTCGGGGAGATGGAACGGCGCGTCGAAGGTTCTTGACGGGTCGAACGGCTGAGCCCATGTCCCCTTGAAGTAGAGAGCGTTGGCAAGCACGGCCACCGTGGACAAGCCGACGGAGCCGGAAGGGAGGACGGCGCCGATGAGCCCTTTCGTCGCGTCCTTCACGAAGTCGTTGATGCGCTGCCTCGCCTCCTCGGCCTACAACATGGAACCATTCAGTTACTTGTTTCCATGTGGCATGTGCTGCTGAGATTCACAAAGATTGCTTCACGTTGACAGAATAGCAAACAAATAAATCAGGACGCACCTGTGACACGAAGTCCACGGATTCCGCGACGGCGGCGTAGACGGCACCGGCGACGTCCGCGAACTCCTCCCGGAGCGCGCACCGGCGGTCCACCCAGACGCCGCACGCGAAGGACGTCTGCGGGATGCCGCGCAGCGCGGCGACCAGCCTCGTCACCGCGGCGTGCCGCAACTCGTCGAGCGACGCCGACCCTAGGAAACGCAGCAGCTCCGCCTGCGTCTCGCCGCTCGCGCCCGCGGCCACCAGCGCGAGCGCAGCGTGGAGCGACAGCGGCGAGAGCATGAAGTTGCGTCCCTCGCCGGCTGCCTTGCGCCCGACGCGCCTCGCCAAGCGCAGGCAGCCGGTCGCGTCGTCGTCGCCCGCCACACACGCCCCGCCCCCACCCCCGGCCCCGCCGGGCGAGGCGTCACCAGGGGTCTCGCCTGCTGGGACGACGACCGTCGCGTTTGGCCACGGGGTCCAGGGTGATGAGAGGGTAGGGGGAGGCGGCGCAAACGTACTGGACGCCCACTGCCAAGGGGCGGCCGGCGCAGCACGGTGCGGCGGCGTGTAGTTGTGCCAGCGAGGAGGAGATGGCTGCTGGGTCGGCTGGGAGGCAAGGTAGCTCGCAATGGCTGCCGTGACGCTTGGAGCGGGAAACTGCTGGGAAGAATGGCCATCCGCGCCGTCGTGCGTCGGAGCGGCGTGGTCGTCTTGGCGCCACGACGAGCTGATGTTCCGCGAGCCAGTCGGGTAGTACGACCTCATCGTTCGCAACTGTACGCTTCGTGGGTGGTATTCTTGTCCGCAACTGTACCATGTGTCGTGATGATCTTTTATAACAAAGAGTGGGAGGTTTTATATATAAAGATCCGTATATGATATATAGCGTAACACCCACGCAGTTAAGCGCGTTATAATTTTATAATTCAAACGCTGGAACACGTACCCGTAAGCTAGGGTCTCTTTGGTATAACTTAACTTCACTACTAAAGTTGTTTTTAAGAAAATAGTTTTATGAGCAACTTTCTAAATAAAGCTGAACAATTTTAGAAAAATTATTTGGCAAAACAGCTTTATGCATAGATAGAAGAGAGAAATGAAGGAGAGAGTTGGAATAAGCTAATTTTTTCAGTTTCATCTCAACTCATGTCTTTGTGGGGGAAGAGAAAAACAACTTCATGATTGAATCTATTTTAGAAACGAGTGTTTGGCAAATAAAACAGTTCACAACAGCTCATGAAGTTTTGTGAGCTGTGCCAAACAGACTCTTAGTTTGTTCGCCCTGTTCGCTTGGCTTATAAGCCACGAACAATGCTTTTCTCTCACAACAAATTAGTCAACACAGTGCTTTCAGTTATGGCTTATCAGCTAAACGAATATGACAGTATTGATATTATAAAGTTGTTTGCAGTCACGTTACAGGTTTCATGTCACACAAATGTCTCCACGCTATGCTTGTGAAAAAATACCATATACTCTCTTCATTTCAAATTAGACGTTCTGACTAGGTATGTATGTAATATAAACTTCTCAATTATAAAACAACATAGTAAAAACTATAAATTTAGAAAAACTAAAATATCATACAATTTAGAATAAAAGGAGGTCCTGTTTATAAATTATCCATCACACTATTATGAAACCCAGAATTTCACTGCATCTGTTTTGAAATTATTCACTAGTGTCCTTACAAGGAGAAAAAAATATCCACTTAGGTGCTTTTCCATTATATGCCCCTTCAAATATTTAAAAAACAAGCAAAATACTCACATGTTTGTTATTGCATATGTACGTCGTACGTGGCATGCATTTACGAGATTAAAAACTACAATTTGCATGATCAAAGTTGTACACAACTTGAAATGGGTAGCTCAAGATTGTAATATTGGAAACAAACTAATTAGTACTAGAAAGAAAGTAGAACACACTTTAGTATTTTAGTTAATGCAAAGTTCTTTTTTTTTTTGCGAGGAAATGCAAAGTTCGTTACCAACGTATACATTTAAGAGAGGCGCAATTCACGTATTCAAAACTGTATATAGCTTGAAACATGTTGCTCAATATAACATTAGGAAGATGACATAGAAAGACGCAACTACGTCCGGGTTAAAATATTTACAGTAACTTGAATCAATGTTGGGGATAAAATAGGCAAAAGACAATGGAGTACTTATGGTAAAAATGATAAAGAAATTTCTTATTATTATTTAACGCCAGTGTAAATCTTGTCCATCGGTCATTAGAATTTTATCTATCCTTCTAATCTTCAAGGTAATTTAGATTTTTGTTGAAAAGCAAAAAAAATAGGTTCGTCGTTCTATTACAATACGATCAGAAACAAGAGAATTTTTTTACCAATCAATATTTTATTTTATCCCACGCCACCTCGCCACTCCACGCACCCACCAATTTTATCTCTACGCACCCACCGTCATCATAGGACCATGCATTTTCATCTTACATTTTTTCCCATGCCACCTTGTCACTCTAGCACCCACCGTCATCATAGGACCAGGCCACCTTTCCATTCTATGGACCCGCTGTTGCCATAAGTCCACGACCGAGACGAGCTTCCTCCCCCAATCCTACAGTAACATCCTCCTAACATATTGCTGACTACATGACCGATGTAAGGACAACCACACAAATGTATAAGTAGTCCATATATGGGATCCACGTGATCAATTCATATAACTGCTATTATTTTCTCACATTTTTCAGCTAATAAGATGGGTCCTACCTGAAATAAAAACACTATTTATTCATCCAAAACCATCCGAAATTTACTGTAGCGCGGACCAGCCGAACACGCTGTATATCTACGATCCTGTATCTAGATATCTAGAATAGGGAGAGGGAGGAGTAAAAAAAGTAATATTTTTTATTATCTAAGGGTAGTCTAGGATATTTATTATTGTAGACTACTATAAGTATGGGTAGTCCATAAATTTATGGGCATCTATTACTATGAGCTACTCTATGGCATCTATATATTCAGCCGGTTCGCTTGTTGGTTTCAGCTAGGGTTTATCAGTCAGCGAACAGTGTTTTTCTCTCGCAACAAACCAGCATCAGCCGGGCTTATCAGCACAGAAACCAACCAGCAAACAGGCTCATTGTGTTCCATCCAGCTTGGTAACCAGTGAATATTAGTTTAATTCCCATAAAATGCTTTTGAATAACATTATGGTCCAGCTAAGTAACTAGTGAATATTATTTTGAGCGCAGTGCTAGTGTCCGGACGTCCGGATGCTCGCGGCTGCTACACGCTCGCGCCAGGCGGGACCGCCCGCACTGCTCCCGCGCTTCCCGCATCCGCAGTTGCACCACGCTCCATCCCTCCGCTTTCTACACGCATGCACGACGCCCCAGTAGCTGTAGCAGGTGGTTGTGACAGGTGAGTCACATTGCAACATGTACAACACTCGATTTACTTTTGAAACATTCAGATGAAACATTTACAACATGTGTCTGAACACAGATGAAATACTCGAAACATGCGTTTGAAATACTTGCCAAAACATCTAAAAACACTTGAAAAGACATTGCAAAACATATGCAACATCCAGATAAAAAAAACTTGCAACATATGTGTGAAACATATGCAACATCCAAATAAAAACACTTGCAACATACGTCTAAAAAAACAAATGAAACATTTGAAAGCCTTACAACATACACTACTACAGGAAATTTAACCGAGGCGGGCGAAATGGCTTAACCGAGGCGGGCAAACCAACCGCCTCGGTGCAAAGGTCACGGTTAATCGTATTAACTGAGGTAGGCTCCTTACAAATGTCCGCCTCTGTTAATGAATAAAAAAACAAAAATAACTCAGAGCCATCGGCGAGCCCATTTCCGAGCCCACCGACGAGCCCGTTTCTAGCCCTAACGCCGGCCACCGCGGCGCCACTACCGTGAACCGGATCCACTGCTCACAGATCTGCCCGCCGTTGTCGTCGGTGGAGGCGGATCCGCCAACCATGGCCGTCGATGGTGGCGAATCCGCCGCCATGGCCATCGATGGAGGCAGATCCACCCGCTGTGGCCATCGGTGGAGGCAGATCCGCCCGCCGTGGCTATTGATGGTGGCAGATCCACCGCCATGGCCGTCGTCAATGGAGGGAGATCCGCTGCCGTGGCCATCGGTGAAGTCAGATCTACGCGCGGGGCCCACCACCGGAGATCTCCCCGTGCACGTCGTAGCCGCGCCACCGGTGGGAGGAGAGAAGGCGTCGCCGCTTGGAGGAGATGGGCACCGCCAGCGCCCCGCACCGACCACCGAGCGGCCTCCACCGTGGACGCGCGCGGGCCCTCGCCGCTGGGCGCAAGGCATGGGTGCACGGCGCCCTAAACCACCGGTAGAGAGTGGAGGGAGGGGCGGAGAGAGGGAGAGAGATGGCGCGTGGGGGAGAGCGAGGGAGAGCCGCCACGTCTGAGAGGGAGGGAGAGGGAGGAGCTGAGATCAGTGAAAGTGAAACCCTAACTATCAGTATATATAGAATGAGCGGATATCGGGCCCAGATGGGTTGCCTGCTGGGCCACTGTTTATTGAGGCGGGCCTTATAAGGTGACCACCTCCGAAAATGGATTAACCGAGATGGTTGCGTTATAATGCCCGCCTCGGTTAATAGGCATTAACCAAGGCGGTTATATTACATTGTCCGCCTCGGTAAAATATTAACCAAGGCGGTTGCGTTATAATGATCGTCTCGGTTAATAGGCATTAACCGAGGCGGTTATATTACATTGCTCGCCTCGGTAAAACATTAACCGAGGTGGTTGCTGGGCCGGCTGCCCTACCACGAATAACCGAGGCGGGCAGCCGGCCCGCCCGCCTCCGAGGCCATTTTGAAAACGCCTCGCAAAAGATTTTGTGTAGTACTAATACGTGTATAGCAATTACAACATATCAACATCCCGATCTACTTTTGCAACATGCATATAAAACACTTACAACATACTTCAGAAACATTTGAAACAATTGAAACATACGTTTGCAACATACGGCAGGAGAGACTAGGGCGGTCGATTTCGGCCGTCAGGGTAGGAGCCGACGACGAGCAGTGGCGCGCGAGCACCACCAGCGGGCCGTGCTCGTGGGTGCCCCTTGGCTCGACCGGGGACGATCTGAGGCGCCCTGGCACGTGCGCCCAGCCACCATAGGCAAGGGCAGCGGCGGCGGCGAGACATCCAACGGCACTAGGTTCACGAAGAGGCTGGGGAGACGCAGCACGAACTGAGGGAGGGGGCAGCGTGGTTGGCTTGGGTGGAGGAAGGAGGCAGTGGTGGCGGCGTGAGGCTCTGCTACTGCCAACGGATGTGAGAGAGACCGAGAGATGGGATGGGCGAGACAGGAGCAGGGAGCGGAAAGATTTTTTTTCTTGAGAGAAGCGAACATATATGGAGTGGGAAGCCAAATATTTCCATTATTTTAATCCCTATAAAATGCTTTTGAACAACATTATGGTTGCTTTAAGGCAATAGCATCAAATGCAATAGCACAAGGAAAACCAATAGATCACCTAATAAACATTAAAATCTCAAGGCCGTGCTCAAAATTGATTGAGTTGTCTTATGAGACTACTCAAATTCTTGTGAACGGCGAATCGCATGAGAAATTTGGTGTCAATTCATATATAGAACAAACAAAATAAGCCATCTGCCACGGCCCACACAACAGGTCATAATCGCATTACACAATTCTCCCAAGGCAATGACATCAAAGCTGATTTCTGAACTCACATTGGCTTAAGCATAACTAG